CATCTTGAGCGCCTGGGTGGATTCGGAGACCCAACGAGGTAGGTCAGGGAAATCGTGCCTGTTGGTGGGGCAGTGGGATACTTGTAGGATTTGGGTCAGGGAGATATGCAAATGAGGTGAAGCGAGCTGCGGGTGCTTGTGCCAATCAGAAGGGAGGCTTCCCGGTGCTGCAGCTGCAGGGTCTGAGTCCCTCACAGACCAGCTTCTTGGAATGTGGGGGATGGACCCTGCCCAGAGAGATAAGCTCCTTGGAATGTTGGAGGCAGGGACTGCAAAGTCCAGCAGATCACTGGTCATTCTGAGAAGCTGGGGGAAGGGGCTGCATGGTCCGCCCTGGCCCAAACTAAGGTTACCTACTCAATGGTGGCTGTGTTATGGTCAACTCCCGTTGTCATCCGGTCAGCACTGAGTTATAGTGACCCTACAGCACTGGGTGGAACTGCTCTGCTCCCTTAGATTTCCAGCAACAATCCAGCGTGTGTGGGAAACTAACACTGAGGGAACTATGACGAGGACTATATTCCCTAACTTGTAACAGAGGGAATCTGGAAAGCTGGTATGCCATGGTAGGAAAGCCTCCACTTTGGTAAGTGAGACATAAAGTCCAAGGACATGGTCCTGCTTTAAATATCATTCCCACAGATTCTCCCCTAACAGCTCTGCTGCCTTACAGTGAGCACACGGTTGATTCTGTCTCCCTACAGAAGCAGACCTTCTTTTTTGTTCTCTGTCTTCTCGCTGGTCATCCAACTGCGCTCATACCTTCCTCCAATAGCTGATGGGCTGGGGGTGGATCCAAAACGTTTGCCAGAGCTTGAATTTTTGTCTTGGCTACATTAATATTGTCATTATTTTTGCCCTGACAGCTTTCAGTGTATAGAAAATAACGATGTTGCCCCTGTAGCTCTTTTGAATTTAACACATAAAGCACAAGGGGGAATTGTGGGATGCAAAAAAGTTTTTCCCCAGGTTGTTTCCCATATTGCATACCCAGCCTAGGACCTCCTTGGGAGCGCTTTGTGAGGTCAGCCGCTTAGAGGTGGTCTCCCTGAGGGCATCAGCCAGGTAGCGCAATCAGACACGAGTCTGTCCCACTGTAGTGGGGCCCGCACCCTGCTGATGAGGATAGTGAAGGAGAGCCCAGAAGCAAGGTCAAGCCAACTCAAGGAGGACCCAGGTTAGGCTGCCAGCTTGAATCTAGGATCCGTCCATCTTGTCGCATGCGTACCCCTGGTCCCTCCCCTTCCTATTGCCTGTACACCCCTAGCCGTCCCCTCCCATTGCTGGTATTGCCTGTGGTACAACCCCTTCCTGTTACCATGTGGTTACCTGTCATCAGGGGAGATCACATGCCCCTTAAATGTATATAAGCCTTGGTTAGAAATATATTCCCTAAAAAACATAAAATAAAAGAAAGAGAGAAATATATTCCCTCCTCTCACTCTCTCTGCGCAGACTTGGCTGCTGAGATCATGGCCGCCCTAGAGGTGAGAATGCTCTTATGAAATGTGTCCAACTCATTTATTTTATCCTATCTCTCTTACCACCCATGATTTTACTATCATCTTGATATATTATCGCCAGACAGTTGTGCCTATGGACCGAGCCCCGTGATTGCTAGAGGCTGGGTTATTTTGACAAACTTGTAACCTCTGTGCCACCAGGGTCTCTTCCCCCTCCCCACCCTTCCCCCAGAACTCCTCTCTGTTGTTGGAAAGTTAAAATGGACAAGGAAGTTCCAGGCTTCATTTCCACCTTTTGTTCAGGAAGTAGGAGTCACACCTGGCCATCCAAGTACTTCCATCCAATTGTCCAAACCTCCTCCCCATACCTCCCTGGGACAGGTGCCATTGACATATTTCCAGCTCAAAGGAACAGAGCAATGATTCGGGAGCTCACGTTTATTGTGTGAAGAGAAGATCCGGACCCCACTTCAGGATGGCAGAGGGCTCTGGAGTCTTTGAAGGGCACTCCTTTCCACCCTGAGGTCACCGGTCCTGAGTCACCGTGGAGGACAGTTGGATGGAGGTGAGGGGCATAGGGACATGAGAAACCCTTAGGGTGGATCTGGACCAGAAGCCACTGAAAGCCGTGTTCAGGGCTCCCTTTTTGGGCTGTGGTAGCACTAAGTACCTATGTGCTATAACCCCAAACAAACAAACTTAAAAACCATGCTCACTGCCATCGAGTCAATGCTGGCTCATAGGGGCCCTATAGGACGGGGCAGAACTGTCCCTGTGAGCTTCTGAGCCTGTCACTCTTTGCAGCAGGAGAAAGCCTCGTCTTTCTCCTTTGGAAGGGCTAGTGGTTTCCAGCGGTTGGTTTTCGGCTAGCAGCTCCAGGCCTTCCTCTGTGTCTCCTTTATTTTCTTTTCATTTCCCTTACCACAATCGTTCACCTGTTTTTAATGTCTGGCCCACTGTGAACTTCCCTACTATGTGGTGCATAGTTGGCACTCAGTAAAGAGATTCTTGTTTTAGTGTCGATAATAACAATTAGTGCGCAGTCTCCAGGTACTGTCCTGAAAATGCTGTATGTATTCACCCTCACCAGTGCCCATTTCTCAGGTGCAAACAGTGAGATCCAGATCCTGCTGAAGCCAGGTAGCTTCTAAGAAGTAGAAGGTCTACCGATTCCTGTTCAAATGCTCTTTTAAGGCCGAAGTGACAGACGTGCCTTCTGAAGAAAGTGTGTCACAGTGCTGACCAGGTCACTGTTGCTCTAGTCTCTCATCTCGCCTCAACTGCCAGCGGGACAGTCTGAGCTCTCAGGGGAAAAGGAGTGTCCCTTCTGACTACTGCAGGGTGCATGCATTTCTGGAGGGGGTCTGGGGCTCTTAAAGCACCATAGAGAGGAGTTGGGGGTGGCATCGGGGAGAGTGTGGGTGGTGCCACTGAGTGGCTGGGATGTTGGAGGACTGGCTCCAGGCTGTTCCCCAGCCTTCAGCTGCATCAGAATTGACAGTGGACAGTGCATTCCAGCCCATCGGCACACGTGTGTGTGTGTGTGTGTGTGTGTGTGGTGTTACTGTTGTTTTTCTTGCATGGTCTCCTCTGCCCCGCCTTAAAGTTAATAAATTAGTCTGGGATTTGAGATGAGGCTAAGCATTTTTATGTCTGCATTGGAATTTTTTTTTTTTTAAGAGAAATGATTAGGTTTCTTTAAAATCTTGCCCAAGGAAGTGCAAATCATATCAAGAAAGCGGCCCATTTCCGTTGGTACAAAGGGCGTCCATTCTCCGTGTAAGGGGTCTTGCAGTGGCATCAAGACCCTCCGTGCCGCAGCCCCCGTTCTCTGACCTTCACGCCCCAGAAACCGGCCTGCTCCAGTTCAGCCTTGTTCTCCGGCCTGTGTCCTTCCTGCTTTCTTGGAGGCCCACTGATACTCCACAACGTGGCCTTCGATCCTCGGGGTCTCTAAGGCAATACGTTACTATTCCCCCCATTGTATCCCATGCAGGGTCTTAGTTGCACGTGAGCCCTGGAAGCACGTTGAAACTTCTCATTGATCCCTCCTGCCACGGTGCCAGGACCCTGGTGGCATGGCGGTTACACGTCAGGCTGCGAACCACCATCAGGTGTTTCGGGGACTCACGGGGCAGTTCTGCCCTGTCCTGCAGTGAGTCGGCATCCACTCCATGGCGGCATGCTTTTCTTTTTAAAAACCACAGTGCCGGGAGGCCTGGTGGCGGAGTGGGTTAAACGCCTGGCTGTAAATGGCAAGGTTGATGTTTCAAACCCACCAGCTGCTCAGTGGGGAGAGAGATGAGGCTTCTGCCCCCAACGGAGTGGTTCTGCGTGCTGTCCTGTAATGTTGCAATTGACTCAGCGGCAGCCGGCAAAGACCCCTGTCTGGCACACAAGAGGGGCTCAAAAATGCCAGGTATGGGTAAGGACACTGCGGTTAAGGACCCGCCTTCTGAAGGCAAAGGTTGGGGTTTGAATCCTAGTGCTACCCTGTGTGTCTGTCCTGCAAGCCAGTCTCCTCGGGCTCAGTGTCCTCATCTGTCAGGTGGGCATCGGCAAGGGCGCCCACTCCTGGTTGTGAACACGATTGACAATCCTGGCACAATCATGAAGGGCTCAGTAGTTTGTGGCTTACAGCAAGCACCCAGGAAATGGCCCCTTACCCACAACGAACTCTGACTTCCATCTGGGAATTTCATCCCAGAGTAGAACGGCTCCAAAGCTTCCCAAGACTCCACATGAAGCAGATCATGCTCCCTCGGAGTGGCTGGTGGGTTTGAACTGCTGACCTTTGGGACACTAGTTGTGTACGGAATCCCTGCGCCACCAGCTGCTCCAGTCAATGGCAGTGCTACTAAGCTGGAAGAGTCTCTGGGGAAGCAACAGTTAACATGCTCCACAGCTAATGGGAAGGCTGGAGGTTCAAGTCCAGACAGAGGGGCCTCAGAAGAAAGTCCTGGTGACCTCCTTGTCCAAAGACGGTCATTAAAGACCCCTTGGATGACATTCCCCCTCCAAGAAACCCCCCGAACCGTATGGGTGGATCCCAAGTCCTAGACCCTGTGACCTTTCAGCCTTCAACAGGACTCGATAGTGACTCGGTGCAGCATCTGTCTTGAGCGTTTGGGCCACGGAGCACAGGCGAGAGGAGTTTCATCACGGTGGGGAAATCGTGAGGAAGGACGTCACCAAAGCCACTACTCCGTACATGCAGAAACCGTGTGTGTGCTTTCAACCAGAGGGGGTACAAAGCTCCCTGGAACAGAGCTACCAGGAGGGGCAATAAGACTGTGCGCCAACTGGGAGATTGGGAACCTGAGGGAGTGTCTCAGGAAGGAAGCCTCCGGGCCTGGCCCCACGCATATAGCCTTCCCCTGAGGGAGAAGCTGTAGGGAGGGCTGCCTGGGAAGCCTCCCCTCTGCAGAACCTGAGCTTGGTGAAGGCAGGGGTGAGTCTCCCTGCCCGTTGGCCTCTCCATAGGGCCTCCCACTCACCCTCCCCTTCCGCTCTGAGCACTCACTTCTCACACAGGACGTGTACGCTGGCTCTTTAATCTTATGATTCATTAAATCACAAGTAGTTCTGGGTGCGCGCCCCACCATCTTCATTAGAAATCATGTGGGATTGTGAGGAGACCTGGGGGTGGGGTGGGGTTGGGGGCAAGGGGAGAAGGCCCGCTCTCCCCTACAGAGACTAAAAACATCAGAAATCACCCCCAGGAGACAGGGGTACACACTGGCAGGGCCTGAGCATCCCAGGAGGGGCAGGGGGGCGCTGCCCTAAGACCTGGTCTGGGTGGGCTGACAAGCAGGTTCTAGACCCGAGCCTCTTGGAAGAATGAGAATGCTCAGCTAGCAGAGCTACTGAACTTGATCTGCAGCCGTCACGTAGCTGATGGCACAGCCGAACAGGTTGCCCCGCTCAGGCTGCTCCCCACCTCCCCCATCCCAGGACCTGGGGGTACCCTGGGCCAGACCCAGCTGAGGAGGGGGACCTTGGGTGCCATCAGCTCCCCCTGGTGAGGAAGGCTTTGGGGGAGGACAGAGCTTTGAGGGAGTGGGCAGGGGTGCTCCCAGCGCCAGGACCAGAAGGCAAGTCACCCCAGCCAGGCAGCTGTACACAAGCCGGGGGTATGGGGTGTACGCAGTCGAAGACAGGGCCCTTTCCCAGGATCCATGCCATTCCCAGTAGCCCCTGCGTGCACCAGGCCAGTCACAGAGCACCTGCCCAATCGCTCCCTCAGAAGGGAGGGCCAGTGGGGAGTTCAAGGCCCTATTGCCTGCTCAGGGCCTGTGGAGATTCCCCAGCAGCGGTGTGTGGTGGGGCCATGTCCCCGGCTCCTGGGAATCAGGGAGGACGTCATGGCTTCCTCAATACTGTCCCTGAAACGCCGCAGGCCACTCCAACGCTAGGAGTGGTGTGTAGGTAGATGGGCCCTGGGAGAAGGGCAGGCAGAGCGGCAGCTCCCCTCCTCCCTTCCGGAATGGGGGGGAGGTTTCCCTCCTTTCTGGGGGAGGGCACAAACCCACAGCCAGGTGAGGGGGTAAGGGCTTTGGCAACTTCCTGCCGCTGCCATCCCTTGAGATCCGGGTTCCTCTTCCACCTCCATCCCTCGTCAGGTCAGGTCTGCAGTTAATCCCCTTCCTGCTGCTGGCTCTCTCTCGGGGCTCAGAGACAGCCTCCATCGCTGTGCCCGCCCCACCACACGTTCTCCAGGAGGTGGACTGTCCCAGGGGGCCGAGAGGTGCTCACACCCCCAGGAGGCTCTTCTCATCCTCCTTGGGGCTGGGCTCCTCCTGCACCTTCTTCATCTCCCAGCCCCTGACCCAGGTGTAGGCCCACGAGCCACCCAGGACCATCATGTTGCTTGCCCACCAGAGGAAGCTCTTGATCTCTTCGTAGTAGAGCACGGCCAGCACCGTCTGGGCGCAGGCCTTGGCCGTGCCGGACACGTTGTGGGTCAGGGGGCTGGTGAACTTGATCTGCAGCCCTGTCACGTAGCCGATGGCGAAGCCGAACAGGCCCCCCAGCGTCATCATGCCCCAGAAGTGGGCGCTGCCCAGGTGGGTGAAGCTGCAGAGGGCCTGCAGCTCGCCCAGCAGCAGCAGCAGGGGCAGGAAGAGCACGCAGGCGTTGGCGTTGTTGTAGAAGGTCAGGCGCCAGATGCTGCCATCCACCACCGGGAGCACCTTCTTGGTATAGATGGCGTTGAGCGAGACGCACAGGCTGGCCAACACACCAAAGAGGGTGCCCGTCCAGGACAGGGTCCCCTCTGCCCCCTCCTGGTCCACGCCAAGCCAGAAGCCACCTGCAGCGGGGAGAAGAGGGAGGAGGAAAGACAGCTACTGGCGGTGCAAGGCTGCCTGGGAGCCCCACCCTCCCCAGCCTCCTCCTCGGACTCTGTCCAAAGTGTCTTCGGTATGCTGAGGGTGCTGGTATAGCGGGTTATATGCTGGCCTAATAATCACAAGGTCTGCAGTTCAAAACCACCTGTTCCTTTCATTTCCCAGTCCCGTATTCCATTACAATGGTGGCAAGATCCCTAAGCCAGCACAGCGTGCGTGAGAGCCCACAGCTGCTGGCCTGGGGCCTCGGCAAAGTGCCAGTGGAGCTGAGTTCTGAGGGGTGAGTCCCGATTAGGAGATAAGGTGACCTTGGGCAACCGACTTCAGGTTTCCCAGCCCCGACTTCGTCTTCCATAACGTGGGAGCAAACAGTGGGGAGCAACAGCAGGGAGTTATTGGTGGCCTGAAGTTTCGGACAGTCACTCTTTCTGAGACTTCTATGCTCAGGCCTCCTCCTTGTTAGAGAGCTTGCCTGCCCACAAGTCTGTACTCCTCAGCCCGCAACTCCAGGCTCTGTCCCAGAGGTACCCGGCAGGTCTCCAAATCCTGGGGCTTAGTGGACTTGTTCATTTCCTGCAGCAGAACCCCCACTGCTTTCTGCCTTCTTCTGAACAAAGCCCACCTCCTCCAGGGGAGACCTTTCCTGATACCCTAGCACCTGGGTCTCTTCGCCACCTCTGACTACTGCATTTCCCAGCCCGGCCCACCCTGAGCTGCGAGGTACCTGCTAGGTCTCCTTGTGTGGACCCCACACTGCCAGGGGCTGTGTGGTCAGGGAGCACATGGGGTGGTGGGAACAGCACCGTCTTTGGTGCGAGATTTTAGCATTACCATTCAAAATCCGAGTGACCTGGTCACCGTCCTGAAATGGGCCTAGGTGCTCAGGACCATGGGCTTAGGGGACACTAAGGTCAATTGGTGGAACACAGTCTCCAAAGACAATGTCCTACATCCTGCTTTCGTGAGTCATGATGGGGTCTTAAAAGCTCACGAGCAGCCACGGAAGGTGCAGCCATCGGTCCCTCCTCGTCCAGAGGAAAGAGGAGTTTTGAAAATCAAAGACACAGGAAACAATTAGTCCAACGGCTTCATGGACCCTTCGGACATCAGTTTGGATGACCTTGAGATCAGAAGAACTAGATGGTGCCCGGCTCTGAGAAGGATCGCATTAGAAGGTCCTGAATAGGGCAGGAGAAGAACAGAGTCCAAACCTGGCTTGTTCTCAGCTATCAATTATTTGTGGAGTGGATAAAGGGACGTGTGGAGGTTGTTAAGAAACATTATAAACACAAGGTACTGTGGTGGCTTCTGAGCTGCCACGATGCTGGAAGCTCTGTCACTAGTATAGCAAATACCAGCAGGTGGATGGGTAGGGTTCAGTGGAGCTCCCAGACTCAGGGAGACTAGGAAGAAAGGCCTGGTGACCACCGTCTGAAAATCAGCCAGCGCAGACCCTAGCAATGACAACAGATTGTCTGGAACAGTGGGTTGGAAGATGAGTCCCCGTGGTTGGTGACACTCGGACCACACAGTGGCTGCTGCAACAACCAGTGGACTCGAGCAAACCACTGATTGTGAGGATGAAGCAGGACAGGCTGGGGACGGCTCTGTTCTATTGTACATGGGCTTGTTGGCTCTGAAGGCGGCGGGCAGTTTTAAGAGGACGAGGCGCTACTACCCTGAGCACTCAGGCCACTCCTTCCTAGCGGGCTGTAGCCTGGCTCCCCTATTCAGCCTAGCAGTCCGGCTGCTGCTACCTTGTGATCAGAGGAGACTGATGAACAATGAGCCCTCACTGCTCTAGAGGGGCTCTGGGCCAGGAGCCGGGAAAGGTGACCTGTGATACCAGGGGTAGCAGGGGGAGAGGCCTGTAGGCCGCATGTGCCAGAGCACCGGGCAGTGGGGCCATCGGCCTCCTTGGCCCCCTGCCCCACCGGGTTCTCTGAAGCTATCGCACCCTCTCCTCTGATTACTTTTTAGGCTTGGGCCCCGTTTTTCCTAGTGACTGCACCTTCATGCCCATAAATGCTCCTACCCAGAGGGGTCTCAGCAGGACTGAGTGGACATCCCTGGGGACCTGGGGAGAGCGGGGAAATGGGGGAGAGTCCACCCTGGCTCTCCTGAGGGAAGGGGAATAGGGGTGGGGGGGTGAGTGGGCAAGAGATGTGTTCTGCCTCAGTATTAAGGCAGATCCTCTCCCAGCAGAATGCTTTGTAGTCCAGGTAGCAGGGAGGGGCCTCTCACAACCCTGGCCTGAGGCCCCAAGGCACCAACTCCCCTGCACCAAGGTAAACCTGAACAGTCACCTGAAGACGCGCTTGGACAAAGGAAGTGACAGAGGCATCCAGGGGGCCAGGGCTGCTGGGGCTCCCAACCCAGAAACATGCCCAACCAAATGGTCTGCCCTGACCCTGACGGAAGTGGTCTGGAATGTGTAGGCACTACCCTGATCCTGGAAGAACGGAGGGTGTATGCATCAAAAGTCACCCAGTCCTCTGGAAAGAGCCCTGGGTGTGAGTCAGCGCACATGGGCTCTTGAGAGGTTCATACAGGAGCCAGGCAGCTGGAGTTCGGATCCCAGTCCTGCCGCTGGTGAGCTGTCTGACCTTGAACACGTTTTGAACCTCTCTGGGTCTTGGCTTTCCTTCTGTCCAGTGTGGGTTACAATCACAGGCCTGGAAGAGGGTTCGCTGCATTCACGTGGAGGAAAGGCACTGCGATCCGAGCCTGGCACCCCGTTAGCACTCAACCCGTGAGTGGCTTTGCTACTGCTGTTACTGTTGTTATTATTGCAAAGTGACTTTAGGCAAATTATTTGATCTTCCTAGACCCCAGGCTCTCCCTTCCTGTGACTGTGCCACCATTGGAGCTGGGGCGGATACAGCCCAAAGATCTTAGACGGGTTGGTCTGCGAGGTGCCAGCCCCCATGCCCACCCCTCCCGGCGGGGCTCACCGATGATGATACCGCAGGTGAGCAGGGCATAGAAGGAGGTGGTCTGCTTGAGCAGGAGGTAGGAGAGCAGCACGTTGAACACGGTGGTGAGGGAGCGGCCCACGTTGTAGAAAGCCACCCCGACGTGCTTGAGACAGAGGTTATTGAAGGTGATCATGCCGATGAACACCACCGAGAGGGGCAGGATGCTGCGGGCCACCCGCAGGTCCAGGCGCAGGGAGGGGAAGTCCACAGAGCCCGGGCAGCAGGCGGCCAGGGTGCTGAGGCCCTTGCACAGCAGGGCGGTGACCAGGCACTGGTAGAAGGTGACGAAGATAGGGGTGTCCAGTCGCAGGGAGGGGCTGTCCAACAGGTACTTGTTCAGGAACACCATGGAGATGGAGGTGACCCAGTACAGAGAGACCACCAGGGCGATCTGCAGCGCACGCAGCAGAAAGGGCTTCTCCTCGCTGGTCCCCGCCTCTCCGGCTCCGGGCTCCGTGGTCCCCATCAGTGCCATGTGCAGGATCCTGGACCGCTTCAGGGGCGCCCTATTCATGGTGGCAGAAGAGCCGGGTCACTCCACTGCCCTGCTTTCGGTAGGCCTCAACCGTCAGTCACATGCGGGTGGCATCGACACCCCCCTTCAGCTTTGGCGTGAGCCCAACTGTCCAGTCCCACACAACTGCTTCCACCCTGGGCGGGGCTCATGAAACCCGGTACAGGGAAGTAGTGGGGCCAGGCGGAGGTGGTGGGGGCAGGGCAGGGTGAGCAAGAGGGGAGAAGGGGCTAGGGCCCTGCACAGAGGGGGCACGAGAAAAGGCGATGGGGCAGGGAAAGGGCTAGAGGTAGGCGATGGGAAAAAAGGAGAGGACAGTGGGTCTGGGTGCAGAGAGATTGCCGGGAAGAGGGAGGGCGTGCAGGGAGCTGAATGGAGGGAGGGTGTGAAGGGCGCAGGAAGGAAGGGTGCGGGGTGCATGGGGGGTGGGGGGAGATCAGAGGAGCCCAGGACCGGGGCCTGGAAAACGCGGGACAGGCCGGCGAACGGCCACGCTGCGCCTGCTCAACCCTAGAGCCTCCGGGCGTCGGAGGCCACCGCCCGCGGCAGGGCGGGCCCAAGACTGGTTTCCGGACACGCCCCCGCCCCTTAAAGGGACCGCACTCCCCCGCGGCACTCTTAAAGCCACAGCTCTGGAACAAACGGAACTGGGGGTGGATGCGCGCGCGGGGCTCCCACCCCGCACTGAGCCGGACGCGCTCCCCGCCGACGGCCGTGGGGGCACCTGAGTTGCCGCAGAAGGCTTCTCGGCAGGCTTAAGGCTCGCTCTCCTTGAAAGGGATCTACCCGCTTCCCGCCCCCTCCCCCCCAGCTTGTTCTTCTCCAGAACCTGAGTCCCCCACTCGGCTTAGAGGCCGGTCCACCCGGCCAGACCGCGCCCCTAGAGCCTCGGGCACCGCCTCCGCGCCCCTCCGCTCTCAGCGATCCCCTCGAGCCTCCAGACTCTCCATCCAGCCCAGCCATCTTCCAGAACTTCGTGGCAGTCTCCGACCCCCATTTTCGCCGCCCCTCCCGCCAGTCTCCTAAGCTCCAGCCTAGACCCTGGCTAACGTTCCCTGGTTGCACGACCCCCTGACCCCCAAGCCGAGACCCTCCCAGTCCCCCAGATCCGAGCTCCCAGAGTTTCAATGGCGTATCCCTCTGCAGCGCCCCCTCCCCCACCCCGACTCCATCCATCACCTTCCCACGCCATTGCCCCTCCGAACCCCGCCGGGACCCACCGCACGTCCGGGCCCCAGCGCCCACGCTCCGGGGCTGCAAAGCGACCCCGCGCTCACCTCTTCCTCTGCGCTGGCTGTCCCCGCACCAGCCGGCGCTACACCTGCTGCCTCCGCTCCTGGGGGCCACGCCCAGACAGAAGACTTCCTGCTCCCGCGCTGGTGCCACGCCAGGCGCGCCAGCCCGCTCCCCCTTGGGGGCGTGGGGTGGTAGCTGGGCGACCCCAGCCCCGGCCCGGCCTCGGTTCCAGGTTATCCCTCGGGTCCTGGACCCAGCCACCCTCCTTCTAAAGCCAACCCGCGCGTCCTTCCGCACCCCGACCCGCCAGGGATCCGTTCCTCCCCAGTTACCGCAGCTTGCACGTCCCGGGGCCCGGCTGCATCCCCGGCACCGCGCGTGCACTCGGACTGCGACTCCCGAATTGCACGCGCAGAAGGGCCGGGATTCCTCCCACCCGCCAGGAGGGCAGGGTTCCCCGGCCCCCGCCCCGCGCTGGCCGGAGCTGGGGGAGTTGGCCACCAGCAGAGTTCTGGGTTCCTGCTCTGAGCTATCTTCGGTGCCAGCTCGCGCCCCAAACTTGGGCGGGCCGCTTCTCTTGGGGTCTGAGATCTAGTTACTGAGAAACCTTGGGGCGGTAGGGGGAGGGGTGGGCTCGGACTGTAAATATTAGCGGGACGTAACCTCCTTTCTCAAAAATGGTTAGTGTGGTTGAAAGTAAGAGCCCCCGAGTGGCGCAAGCAGTTAAGTGTCTATACTAATGGCTTGAACCCACCCCTGGTAGAAGCCCTGGTGGACCTGCCATGTAAGCACTGGACTGCTAACTCCAAGGCGGGTGGTAGTGGTGTTTGCTGGGGTGGGGGTGGGGGTGTTTCAAACCTACCAACAGCTTTGCAGGAGAAAAAAAAAATCAAACTCATTGCCAAGAGGGTCTTCCTCTTGTTTAGCGCCCCTCCACTTCACCAAGCATGACATCCTTCTCTCAGGACTGGTCTCTCCTGACAGTAGGTCCAAAGTGGGTTAGATGAAGTCTCCTGTCCTTGCCTCTAAGGAGCACTCTGGCCTGCACTTCTTCCAAGACAGACGGGGTTGTCCCTTTAACAGTCCTGGTACTTTCCCCATTCTCCTCCAGCTCCACAATTTGCATGCACCCATTCCTTGGTGGTCTTCCTTAGTCCATGTTCAACTTTCACAAGTCCAACCAAATTTTACTCTTTCTGGGAGTAGAAAGCCCTGTCTTTCTCCCAAGGAGTGGCTGGTGGGCTTGAACAGCTGACCTTGTGGTGAGAAGCTCAACGCATATAACTCAACTATGCCACCAGGGCTTGCTTCCAGAACGACTTGCAGCCTCGGAAAAGCTCCGAGTTAGACTTGACAGTGGGTGGGTTTTAATATACTGGTAGGAGCCCCTGGATGGCTTAGGAACAAAGGCCTGGGGGTCTACTTACAAACAACAACAACAAAAACAACAAAACCTGCATTAAAAATCTCAGGGACCCAGCTCCACTCTGAAACACACGGGGTCACCAGGAGGGCTGATGTGAAACCGGCAAGGTGTATTCCAAGCTGTTGTTGTTGGTAGGTGCCATCTAGTCGGTTCTGACCCACAGCAACCCTGTGCACAGCAGAAGGAAGCCCTGCTTGCCCCTGTGCCAGCCTCACAATTACGCCTCTTGTCAGAGCCCCTTATTGCGGCCCCTGTGCCAATCCGTCTCGTTGACAGCCTTCCTCTTTTTTGGGTGCCTCTCCACTCTATCAAGCAGGCCGTCCTTCTGCAGGAACTGATGTCTTCTGACAACATGTCCAACAGATGTCTAGAGTCCGGTGGCAGCGTTACTAACACCGCAGCAGACATTTCTTCTGTTTACAGGGCTTACTCTGCCCATCTTCCCAGAGCATCCGGACTGAATGACGTCAGCCTGCTGACGCTGGCGCCCACCCATTGGACTTATTCGAACCAGAAAAGAAGCCTGGGATTCATGTCTACAAAAATTTATAGATGGCCCAAAGACGTAAATACCGGAGAACATCCTCTAATCTCTCCCCTGCTTCTGACCTCTGCTTGCTACCGGAGAGCCTGGCTCTCTCCTGCCGGGAGCTCTTTCTCTGAAGATTCCTGCAGCTGTGGCACCAGAGCTGTTTAACTCTTTCCTCCCCAAACTCTGTTGTAGTTCGTTAGTGGGTCTGTATTAAACCTAATTTTCTCTTTATGTAATAAACCTAATGTTCTCTTTATGTAATCGCAGCTCTTGTGGTCTCTGGCGTTAGACAAAGGGCCAGCTCTAACCTTTCTTTAAGGGGCTATCCTACCCCCCTTTCACCTCATGTCCTTTGATATCCTGTTCCCTACAAACCTCACCTCCCTCACTAAATCTGTTCATTACAGATCTTGCTCTGTCTCTTGTCTCTGAAAGACCTACCAGTGTGTAAGAGGGACCCTTTCTATCCTCGCCTCTACGGAGCACTCTGGCCGCACCTCTGGTAGCGGTCAGTGGTGTGTTCAATAGTCTTCTCTAGCATTACATTCCGTTCAAATGTATCTGTTCTTCCACCTTCCTTATTCGGTGCCCAACGTTCACATGCATATGAAGCAATTGACCATACCACGGCTTGGGTCAGGCACACCTTAGTCCTCAAAGTAGTATCCTTGCCTTTCAGTGTGTCCTCTGAAGGCCCGAGAGCCCATCTCGATCTCCGACAAGGTTCTGCTTCCATTCACTAGGTTTTCGGTATCTGATAAGGTTTCCAAACTATGCATAAGGGTTTTGGTGGCTCCTCTCTCCTAAATGGGGAGCAGAGTCCTCATTGTTGGCTCTTAGTCTGGAAGTTCCGCCAAAACCTGTTCACTTTGGGGGACCCTGCTGGCATTTGAAAGACCAGTGACATAGCTTCCAGCAACACACAAGCCACCACACTATGATCAATTGACAGACACGTGGTGGCATTTTATCACCTGGCTCCATTTACCACAGCCCTTGGAGGGTCATGGCAAATGTTAAGTGCCAAAGCACATAGAATTCTCTAGCACAAACTCTCCCCCTGGCTCTGGACTGCTCACCTAGGTTCCTTCTTCCTTGCTACAGGCCGGCTGGTGCAGAGGGCAGAGATGTGAGGGACTGGGCTGGTTTCTTGGTCTTGGAATCTTTGTGCAGGGCCCAACCCAGAGGGACAGCTCTACTCTGTCTTACATGATCACTGAGTCAGAATTGCCTGGGGGCTTGGGGCTTGCTGGGTGGCCTGAGTTCCTGGGCCAAGCTTGGAAAGTTGTGAGCTTATTATAGAAAGAGCTATGCTTGCCTGCCCAAGAGCCTTCTCTCATAGCTCTACTGTTTCTGTCTCCAACATCCGGGTGATTCAAGGACAAACAGGACTGACTTGTCCCTGTGTGGCCCAGGTTATCTGGAAGGTAACAGGAGATGATTCACTTGAAGAATGTGCTGCCACCTTGTGCCCAGAGGGGAGGGACACTACAGGCCAGGCACTAGAGGGGAGGGGAGCAGCCTGGCATCTGTCCCCACTGGTGTAGAGGTCCTGGGCCAGTCTCTAATCTCTGCTCCTACATTGCTCATCCTGCATTTCCACTGTGTGTGCACCTCCCTTGGCTGAAGAGTGCAATAGGCCTGTCTAGCAAGTTTCCTAGGTTGAAATCCCTGTTCCTTCAAAGGGAAAAAGGGAGGTGGGGATGTTTCTTAGTGGATCTCAGGAGTTGAGGCTTTGGCACCAAGTGTCTGCACTTGCATTTTCCTTAATGAATCTTAATTGTTTGTGAAACCACAGGTTCCCAAATTTATTTGGCCTACCACCGCCTTTGCAGGGAGGGAAAAAAAATATTCAGCTCCCTTCCGGCAAAGAAAGCGTCACTCATAATGTAGGATCTAGTTAGTGTAGGATCTAGTTAGTGTCAAGATCTACTTTTGCACCCTCCTAGGGGGTGGCATTGACCACTTTAGGAAAACTGGTTTAAACTTCTTCCGTCAAAGGTGATGTTTTAGGTCTTGTTCAGAAGGTTGGGCCAGTGTGTGAGTCTGAGAGGTGCATCGTGTGTGAGGGCGAAGGTAAGTTCGAGACGAAGGGGTAGCTGGCAAGCAGGCCTCATTATGGACCTGCCTTCTTGCCTTGATTTGCATGGGAACCACTGACACCGTCAGAAGAAATGGGTTCTGCCAGGCAGGGTGAATGGAACTAATGTCCAGGGTCAAGGGACAGTGGCTC